CGATTTTGAGAGGACTAGTGTGATGATTCTGAGAGGGGAAATAATTTCTGTCCAAAGTCACAGTGTGTTGCTTAAACTTAATTTTTGAAACACACTGTGATGTTGCTGTTTAGATGAAACAGCTGACAATTTTGTGATAAGATTACATTTTTATATATAAAGTTTGAATTTTATTTTATTTTAGAGCATTCTTCTGGGGAATCCGAACCAGTATTTTGTCCAGGCTCAAAGCTCTATTTTGCTTTAGTTTTAAGGTACTCTCTGGTGCAACAGATATCTAGTAGTGTTTTTTAAGTTTTTTTCCCGACCTATACATTTCTGAAGTTTTTATTTTGAAAAGAAAAATTTGGTAAAAGATAGAGGAGGTACATTTCCACATGTTTGCAATTGCAAATGATCTTTGGCAATGATAAAGTGTCTCATACAGAACTGATTGCCTTTTTTGTCACAGACACCAGGGGATACTTTCTGCTCTCAAGCTTCTATTACAGTTATGAAAAATGTGTCAATAACTGGAAACTGTGTCCTTTTATACATGGATGCCAATATCTAAGTAGTTTGAGCAATGGATTCATCATAATCAGATGGCACTTCTGAGACTTTGAAAAGCTTGACACTTTATTCAACCCAAATGAAAAATGTTTCAGAGCTCATCATATTAATATTAATAACCCAATGTCCTTTGCACATTGCTCTGTAGACAATACCATTTACTATGCACTGGGTTTTTCCCCCCATTACCCTTTGTGGGTAATTTAAATAAAACCATTACAATAGGGTGAAGGTCCACACTAAAACCATTCTGTGCAAGAAACCTTTAAGTTTGATATGCCAGGTCACCTTTACTTGACTCGTTGCAATTGGGACTGATTGGGCAATGGGATTTTGACATGCATTTTAAATTAGTAACACGGATAAATACTGGGCCCTCTGCTGTAGCTAACAACATATTTGTAGGGTTATCTTGTGCTTCTGTAGTTGCTATGGAGCTGAGGTGCATTGACTTACTCTCAGAATCCTGACTTCTCTGGTTCAACTGCAGTGTGACATGTTTAAACCTGGAAGTGCACAAGCATAAAGTGTGGGAATGTTAAGGATAGTAGGAAATGATATATTGAATAAGTATTATCCTTCCTTTCATTCACGCTAGTGAGTGATGTAGCAGAGCAGATTCCTCTCAATATAGCTGGAAGCTAGTTTGCAGATTCGTTTGAATCTCTTAGTTAAGATTATTTTCCAGGTGTCCTCTTTAAGGTAAAGGCAAAGGACCCCTGACAGTTAAGTCCAGCCGCGAATGACTCTGGGGTTGCGGCGCTCATCTCGCTTTACTGACCGAGGGAGCTGACGTTTGTCCACAGACAGTTTTTCCAGGTCATGTGGCCAACATGACTAAGCCACTTCTGGCAAAACCAGAGCGGCACACGGAAACGCCGTTTACCTTCCCGCCGGCGCAGTACCTATTTATCTACTTGCACTTTGACGTGCTTTTGAGCTGCTAGGTTGGCAGGAGCAGGGACTGAGCAACGGGAGCTCACCCCAATGCAGGGATTCAAACAGCCAACCTTCCGATCGGCAAGTCCTAGACTCAGTGGTCTCAGTGGTTTAGACCACAATGCCACCCACGCTGTCCCCTTTAATCCCCCTTAAAAAGAATAAAGACACAAGAGTCTTTCTGAGTAAAGTAACAAAAAGTTTACTCACATTTCAGTTCACGATTTGATCCCTGAAAGAAAGGCTTTACTTAGTAGTTACACAATAAACTTTGAGTTCATCTCATAGGGAGACTTAACTCATGTGCTGCTGACTGAGAGCCAGCAGACAGCAAAATTACATTAAGACAGCACAATGGCTGCAGGAGAGCAGCATGGCAGCAAGAGATAGAACATGACAACACTGGAACAAGACAACAAGACAATTCGTTACTAGACTGAGAAAATGGCTGCACGACTCGCCTCTTTGATGGAGTCAGCCAGGGCCATGCCCATCGCCCAGATTACATGCAGGGAAAGGATGCTCCAGACCAGTGGAACAGGAATTTGCACTGACTGAATGTCCCCCTGCATGTGCCCACTCTAGGGAAATAAGGAATGTTGCATTTGACGGCACCAATGGATTACATCCCACTTGAAAGATATGGAAGAAACATGAATAGGCACAGGGACATTGTCCCAGGGTAAAAGCAGTTAGAGAAGGCAGAGGAATAATCAGCAGTTATGTGGCACCATTGCTAAGTGAGGAAGAAAAGAGAATAAAAGCCCACAGAAATGATAGAACTCATTACCCTAACATGGAATGCTTCCTGGGAATCAGCAGGAGGAAGACAAACTTGTCTGCCTAGAGTCTATGTTGCGTTAAAGCTTGATAAAGGCCAAAGAAAACTATATGTGCTTACTTGCATGTTATGAACAGCAGCAACATTTATGGGACAGAGCTTGCTTCCATATGCAATCTTCCTTTCTTTTTCTTCCTTTTTAGGTGCTGGTGGGGTAACAGCCACAAGACTCTCAGGGTTGAACTGCACCTTGACCAGCTGAATGGAACCAATGAATCATGTACGGCAGCCCTCCAGTGGCTTAGTAAAACTTCAGTTTTTGCTGCTAGCCATAGACTGGAAAAATCTCTGCGTGCATGCATGTGTTGAGAAATGCTTGGCAGGCTTTAGCACATAGCTGGTGAGCTGGGTTTGTCACGGTGGATCAGATATTATGCAAATTTGACCTTGGTGGAAGAATTTGTGGCTGTTGGTTGCTGACATCTGCATGGACTCATCAGCTACCATTATTCCTGTTACTTTGCCTGACCTCAATATCTGCTTGATAACACTGCTGCTCTTAGACTACCCATTATAGCAAATACTCCATACCCTCCAGCATTTCTCCAAAGAAAATAGGGATGTCCTATTCCATTACTACTACTACTACTTTATTATTTATACCCTGCCCCTCTGACTGGGTTGCCCCAGTCACTCAGCGCAACTTCAAACATTTATAAAAAACAAAACAAAACATCAAACCTTTTTAAAAAAACAAAAAAACCCTTCCCTACACAGGGCTGCCTCCAGATGTCTTCTAAAGGTTGTATAGTGACTTATCTCCTTGGCTGGGGGTTCCATACCCTCCAACATTTCTCTGATGAAAACAGGGATTTCCTGAGGAAAAGTGGGGCATTCTGGGATCAAATCAGAAACCAGGACGGCTTCTGTAAATTTGGGATTGTCCCTGGAAAATAGGGAGGCTTGGAGGGTCTGATAGCCACCACCTCAAAAATAACTCACCAATCACTAATTTCACATCTGCAGCTAAATATTCTTTGCATCATTCAGAAAACTTACTCGGGGGTAGGTAGAGGTCTTGGATCAGTCTGTCATTTGGGGCTAGATTTATTGTAACTTGTCATTTTGTTCTTATTATAATGCAGCACTGGGCGAAGAATCCCCAGCGAACATTTCCCCTCCTGGAATTACATCGTTAAATTATTGAAGGTGCTTGAACTTCTTCTCTCTGCAACCCCTCCCCCCCCCAAGAATTTAAGCATATTTGGAAATGGAAGGAAGGCCCGCCAAGCCTATTTATATTCCGTAGACTATTATGCAATTTGTCAATGTCAGCATTTATGCACTATATTCACAGATGCTTCGGTGTCATTATGCTTTTAAAGATTGCATTATGTTGCAGTGTGTTGAGTTTCCTCAAGCAAAAAATAGGATGGCTTTCTGTACACTTGGTAGAAGTGTTTAGTTTTTTTTATTTTTTGAGAATATCATTTCTTTCTCTCTGCTATTTCTTTCTCTTTGCTATACCCTCCCCGCTCCCTTGGTTGCTACACAACCTTAGCAAAATTGTTGATCTGGATAGTAGGATACACACACATACGCTAAACTATTATTATTAATAATAATAATAGAATAGATAGCCATTCAACTTATAGCTTTCATAAAGCTTCCTGTTTGTCAGGTTGTCTCATTTATAGATTTGCCACCGCATTCACATTCAAAGTAAATGAAATTCTGAGCAGCTCAGACGCTTCTGCTTATTAATGAGACAACACTTAGGCAGTTTTAAAAGGAAGATGGAAAAGAACATTTAAAAGACAAGCTAAAAGTTTCCGGGGATTTCACACATCTTTAGTTTGCCACAAAATTCCGCTTCAAGCATGTTTTGAAATGTAGTTGGAGGATCACGGCTCGATGAAACACCCATGAATTATTATTGGAACCCGTCACAGAAAGCGCAGGAGAGAATGTTAGACACTCTTTGGGTAGTGCCACCATAATTTCTCTTTTTATCCTACCTATTTTGGGCAGGAAAGAGAACAAGATTTAAGGCAGTCATACTGATCTGAGAAGAAAAAATGCTTTTCTTGGACCCCTACCTCCGGGGGGGGGGGGCACAGCATGATTGCAAGCTGCAATTCACACTTTCTTTCCATGACAGCTTAGAGCAGGCATAGGCAAACTCGGCCCTCCAGATGTTTTGGGACTACAACTCCCATGATCCCTAGCTAACAGGACCAGAGGTCAGGGATGATAGGAACTGTAGTCCCAAAACATCTGGAGGGCCAAGTTTGCCTATGCCTGGCTTAGAGAATGGGCAAGTTATCCAGGCAATGGGAGGAGACCAGATCCTGTGGCTAGGCACTTCACCAGCCCGAGAATTCAAATGTGAGGGGGTGGAGAGGCTGCTGTCTTACTGTTGTTTTGCCAGATGGAAATAATGCTGAAACACTGGGGAAGCATCACAGCACAACTAAAAGTGGACTGGTGTGTGGATGAACCAGTATAAATCCACCACTAGGCACTATCAGTGCATCAATGGCATGTTGTCAAAGACACCCACCAAAGACCCAGTCCGCAGGGGGCCAAAGGCACATATAGTTTAAAGTTGCTTACATCTAAGTACTTATGGGCTCTCTGTCTTGCAGTCACGCATTTCATAGAATTGTAGAGTTGGAACGGACCATGAGGGCCATTTTGTCCAACCAGCTGCAATGCAGGAATTTTTTGACCAACGTAGGGCTTGAACCCAAGACCCTGGGATTAAGAGTCTCATGCTCTACCAACTGAGCTTGATTGTCAGGCTTCAGGGAATCCTATCCCTTCCACAATGGCAGCAAAGAAGCAGAGAGAAAACGAGAAGAGTTCTTACCAATTTGTTTATTCAATAACCACAGTGAGAGACAAAGGGATGCAGTCTCTCTCTAAATAAAGGCCTTGCTCCAAGTAAAGTCCCACTCCCTACGTCTCTCCTATTCTACGTCACCCTTGCATCAGCTAATCTGAGCTTTCTGCCTCTGTGCCTTCTGTTTGACTACCCTCAATGCTCGCCTGGTCATGGGAGAGGGGGTGTGATGTCCTGGGATTCCGATTCGGAGGATGAAACAGAGGAATCCCAGCCTGCACAGGAGTCCCCGCCTCCAGGGCCGGCTGAACTGGGGCAAGGCCTAGATGCTGAAGAGCCTGCACCTGTGGCAGTGCATCAGGAGCTGGCCCCAGGTGAAGCCCTTCTGGCCCCAGAGGGGCTTGATGACTCAGTGGCCACAGGTGAGCCTCCTCCAGGGCCCAGTAACCCTTCGGCCTCTCCTGATCTGCAGAGGCTTAGGGCAGAGAGGCGAAGGGAACTGGTTGCCCCCAGGAGGAGTGCTCGCCTTAAGGCCAGAGGAGGCGGGGCTCCTGGGGACCGGGACCGCCCCTGGCCTTAGAAGAGGATAAAAGCCCAGTCAGCCCGGCCCCAGGTTGCGGGAGCAACGTCGTTGTTGGCCCGGACCTTCCTGTGTTCCTGTTCCCTGCTCGGCTTCCTGTTCCTGACTATCCGGTACTCCTGTTCCCTGCTCGGCCTCCTGTTCCCGACCATCCGGTGTTCCTGTTCCCTGCACAGCCTCCTGTTCCAGCATTCCTGTTCCCCGCCCGGCTCTCTGCCTCGGACCTTGCCCCTCTTCGTGTGGACTCTGCTACACCCAAGGTACCTTACCCCGGGACCAGCACAGTTTGCTCCCGCCACACCCGCACTTCCCCTTCGTAGGGGTGCGTTCGGGAAGAGCCAGAGGCCATGGCTGAACAGGCGGCTGCACTGGTGGCTTTGGCCCAGGAGAACCAGGCCTTGAATCACACCGTGCAGCAGCTCAGCGGCGCGGTTGTGGCACTTCAGCAGCGCTTGGAAGCCCTACCGGCTCCTGGGGCCGGCGCCCGGCTCCGGGCAAGTACCCAGTGGCTTTGCCTGAGAGATTTGATGGAGCCCGGCCAGCTTTCCCATGTTCCTGGCCCAGGCCAAGCTGTATATTCAGGGGCGAGCCCGGAACTTCCTGACGGCCGCACCAAGGTGCACTTTTTGATTAGTTTGTTAAAGGACCAGGCGGCCAGAGTGGGCGTTGCCGTTACTCAGGCAAGACTCCCCTTGCTGGCAGACTATACGGGGTTTGCAATCGTTTGGAGGCCGCGTTCGGCAGCCCCCAGAAGAGAGTCAAGCCAACCGGGCGATTCGGCGTTTGAAACAGGGCAAGTCCACGGTGGCCACATATACCACGGAGTTTCGGCTGTTGGCACAGGACTTGACCTGGAATGACTCGGCACTGCGGGACCAGTATCTCGAAGGGCTTTCGGACGAGGTACTGGACCAGTTGGCCACAATGGAACGCCCCACCACGCTGGACACTCTCATTCAACGGAGTCTACAAATAGACGACCGGTTGGAGGATCGGCGTCAGGCCCGGGGTCGCCGACACTTCCAGTTCACGGCACCAGTAATTTCCGGCAGCCCCACGGTCACAGCTGATTTAGCGGAGGAGCCTATGCAGCTCGGGGCAGTGCGGCCACGCCTTTCCCCCGCAGAGAAGGCGCGGCGTCGGGAGGAAATCTCTGTCTTTACTGTGGCGGAAGTGGACACTTCGCTCGGTCCTGCCCTGAGAACGCCAGCCGCAGAGGCCGCCAGCCCCAGTAGCTGATGGCCCTAGCTGCCGGGGGTCCCAAACCGTACAGAATGGGCCCGCACCAATGGACTTGCAACATCTTATGGTTTCAGTACGTTTATACCCTCCAGGTGGGCCCTGGATCCTCACCCATGCTTTGGTAGATTCAGGGGCAACCCGCTCCTATATGGACGCTGCTTTGCCGCCCATCATCAGGTGCCACTTCGGAACAAGCCAGTACCGGTCCAGGTGGAAGCGATTGACGGACGACTTCTGCGTTCAGGTGCCGTTACTCAGGAGACCCAGCCCTTGGTCCTGTGTCTCCAGCAGCACCGGGAGTTGCGGACTTTGGACATTGCCTCTATGCCCGCTTCCCCCTGGTGCTCGGGATGGACTGGCTGGAAGCCCACAGCGTTCAGATTGACTGGGTCAAGCGGACCGTGCACTTCCCAGACCCATGTTCCCATGCTCAATCCGGAGCGCTGGCGGCCGCGCCCTCAGAGGAGGCAGCACCCACGCTCCCAGCCGTGTACCAGGACTACCAGGACGTGTTCGAGGAGCGGGGGCAGACCAGCGGCCGCCACATCCGCCCTCTGACTGCGGCATAGACCGCCCCCCCGCAGCGCCTTTACCAGTGAGTCGCTTATATTACCTACAGAGCCCGAGCGCGAGGGGTGGCAGGGCTTATTGCGGAAGAACCTGGCGCGTGGGTTGCTTGGGCCTTCCACCTCGCCTACCGCGGCACCAGTGCTTTTCGTTAAGAAGAAATGTGGGGAACTCCGCCCTTGCCATGATTACCGAGCCCTGAACAAAATTACCGTCCCAGACCGGTACCCCTTGCCCCTTATCTCGGAACTGCTGGAGCGGGTGCAAGGGGCACAGGTGTTCACCAAGCTGGACCTCCGGGGGGCCTACAACTTGATTCGGATCCGAGCCGGGGATGAGTGGAAGACAGCGTTTGGGACCCGGTACGGGCAGTTCGAATATTTGGTTATGCCTTTCGGTTTGTGCACCGCGCCTGCTGTGTTTCAACGCTACATCAACCACGTGTTTCAGGACTTGTTAGACAAGTACGTGGTGGTGTATTTGGATGACATACTGATTTACTCCCGTGACCCGGCTTGCCATGAGGGACATGTCCGGACCGTGCTGCAGCGCTTGCGTGAGCACCGTTTGTACGCAAAGCTCAGCAAGTGCGAGTTCCATCAGCGGACTGTGGACTTCCTTGGTCACCGGCTCTCTCCAGATGGGGTGCAAATGGACCCGGGGAAGGTGACAGCGGTTCAAGAATGGGCGGCACCCCGGAACCGCAGGACCTGCAGCGTTTCCGGGGGTTCGCCAATTACTACCGGACCTTCATCGCTGATTATGCTCATTCGCACCACCCCGTTGACCCGGCTACTGCGCCCAAAGACGCCGTTTTCCTGGGACAAGGAGGCAGAGGAGGCGTTTCAGGGGTTGAAGGCCTGTTTCCAGAGGGCACCAATCTTACAACATCCTGACCCCTCTCGACCCTTTGTGGTGGAGACCGGCGCTTCCAGTACGGCTCTCGGTGCCGTCTTGTCTCAACAGATTGGTCCTGAAGCGCCACTCTTACCCTGTGCCTTCTATTCTCGCCAGCTCCTACCAGCGGAGCGTAACTATACTGTGTGGGAGCGGGAACTACTGGCCATCAAGGTAGCCTTTGAGGTCTGGCGCCACCATCTTGAGGGGCACGACATCCGGTGGAGGTGAGAACCGACCACCGGAACCTGGAGTACCTCCAGACCACCCGCAAGCTGAACCAAAGACAGATCCGGTGGGCGTTGTTCTTTTCCCGGTTCCAGTTCCGGATCCGCTACATCCCTAGCTCTCAGAATCAGAAGGCGGATGCCCTGTCCCGAAGCCCGAAGACAAGCGCAGACACGGTACAGCAAGCAGAACCCACCACGATCCTACCTCCGGCTGCATTCCTGGCCACCCAGGAGGCGCAGCCACTGCAGGTCCGGGTGCGGGGAACAGCAGCGGGTCGGCGCTTGGGCCCAGGAGCGACTCCGGGAGCTGGCTGAAGGGTCCAGCCCACAGTATCCGGGGCTGGTCCTGCATCAGGGCCTTCTGCTGCACCACGGTCGTCTGTACATCCCGCCAGGGCCACTACGGCTGGAGGTTCTCCGGATGGCCCATGATGCCCCAGCAGCGGGGCACTTTGGACGGTATCGGACCACCCATCTGGTCAGTCGAGAGTTTTGGTGGCCCCGCCTGAAGGCTGGCGTGGCTCGCTACGTTGCTGGTTGTGATGTCTGCCGGCGCGCCAAGGGACCTACCGGGCGACCCCCCGGCCTACTTCAGCCATTGCCAGTTCCACCGCGCCCCTGGCACACGGTTTCGTTGGACTTTGTAGTGGACTTACCCTCGTCTCGTGGCTGTACCTGCCTTCTGGTTTTCTCCGACCATTTCACCAAGATGGTGCACTGCGCTCCCTGTCCAACTGTACCCACAGCCAAGGAAACTGCTCAGCTGTACCTTCCAGCATGTCTTCCGCCTGCATGGACTACCTGAGCGCGTGGTGTCCGACCGGGGCGTTCAGTTCACATCCCGGTTCTGGCGAGCATTACACCAGACCCTCGGGACAGAGGTCTGCCTCTCGTCAGCCTACCACCCACAGACCGATGGCCAGGCCGGAGCAGGCGAGCGCGGTGCTGGAGCAGTACCTCCGGTGTTACTGCAGCTACCAGCAGGATGACTGGGTCGACCACCTGGCATTGGCGGAGTTCGCCTATAACAACGCGGTGAATCGTCCACCCAGCAGACCCCGTTCCAGGCCAGTTATGGTTATCATCCACGGCTGTTTCCAGAGGTGCTGCCGGCATCCGCGGTCCCGGCGGTGACGGGGTGGCTTCAAGAGCTCCAGTCCCAGCAACAGCTTTTGGTGGAGCAACTGCACCAGGCCAAGGAGCGTACAAAGCCCAGGCCGGCCGCCACCGCCAGGTGGGGCCGGAACCGCGTCGGTGACCTGGTTTGGCTCTCCACTCGCCACCTCCACCCCTCTCGACCTTCGCGGAAGTTGGACGCCCGCTTCACCGGCCCGTTCCCTATCGTAGACCAAATCTCTCCTGTGGCATTCCGTCTCCGGTTACCCGCAGCCCTGAAGGTTCACCCGGTCTTCCACAGGTCCCGTTTGAGTCCGGTGGCCC